CCTATTTTAAAATTTATTTACTATGGCAGGCAAACGCAATTCCAAATCAACACTAGTCAATCCTAAACCGTTATCGAAAGAATTAGATATACGTATTAAACTTTAACAAAACGTATTACAATTATGAGAACACTAATCAATACGTTTTCCAAAAATAAGGTTTAAACAATGTCACAATTTGATAATTAATTTCTAATGAAATAGGAAATAAAAAATTGACTAAGACAATTTATCAAACATGTGGGTATGTGCGTGCGCGCGTGTGCTTGCATGTGCGTTGTGTATGTGCATGTGTGTCTGTGGGCGTGCGTGCATGTGCGTGTACGTGTGTGTGTGTGTATGTCTAGGTGTGCATGCGTGTGTGTACATGTGTGTGTGTGTGTGCGTGTGTGTGCATGTGTGTGTGTGCGTCTAAGAAAGAAATAACAAAAAAATAGATTTTTAGAAAAATTACAAATTTGGAGTTTTGAAACAGTATGTGTTGATCTATGTGGTGAGTGTGTTAACCCATAGAAGTATTTTAGCTTCTATATGTCGACCTATGATGACCTAGGAGTTGACCTCAACAAGGCAAAGTCATTTGGCTTGTCAAGGTTTCAGCTAATATCGACCTCAAGAGATTATGTATTGATTTACACATGTTATGTGTCGACCTAAGAGCCTTGTGTGTCGACACATAGAAGGCGTCAACTTTAATTTTAAAAGGCCTTCAGTATGTGTCGACCTCTAACCTAATTTTTTCACATAAAAACTCAATTTTGACTTGTAAAAATGTTTTTAACCTAATTTTAAGTGTCCTAAGATGAAAATTCACATCTAGACATAGATGATAAGGTCCAATGTACACAAATACTAAATGTCCTAGTTTTGACATCATTCAAAATATTTCTAAAAGGATAATGCACTCACAAAAGTTCCCAGGAATGCTCCTATATTATCCCAAAATATGCCACCACAAATTTACATTCCAGGATTTCTTCTTGAAAATCCATCTATGTTAAAGAAGAAATATGATGCATGATTGGTTTTCTGCGTCTCGAGTATCTATTAATAAGCATAGAAGACAATTAATTATTAATAGTAACCAACTTCCAACAAAGAGATAAACAACAACCTTTGTTTATTGTCTTAATATCTCACAGACCAAGACCTCATTTAAACAAATGTGAGCAAATAATCTTCCAAGATATAGTAAAGGTTTAAGTTCTTCCAAGATGTAGTGAAGGTTAGAGAAACCATGTTTTCAGATTGCCAATTTAGAACTTCTTCAGCTTGAGTTAAAAGTTTAAGTTTCCCATCAGATTGGACTTCACTCGGATGAATGAAGGGTTTAGATGTTCTGTCTGTGATTGGATCCACCTTTCTTTCCAAAGCAGGAAATTGTCGGTCGTACTCTGGAGTTGTGCTTGAATACATAAAGCAAGGAATTGGCTGAGCAACAGCTGGAGAATGTAGCGGTTTACAATGGTCTGTTGGTGACCATGTAATAAGAGTCAGATCATCTGGTGGTAACAACCCTTCTTTCCTGAGAATTTTAAGTCCTTCCTCGTAGATACAAAAGGTTTCTTTTTTCCATGGATTCCTACCCATGGACCATTGTCTGGATCGGATCTCCTTTTGAGGAGGTAGATAGGGTTTACACCTTCCCTTTTTCTTTGTTTTGGGAAGAATGATATCTCGATCAATATCATTGTCATGCATCTAACAGTCACAATCCGGGTCACATCTTTTTGGATCAACATCCTAAATGAAGTGACCGTCTATTTTATCAATGTAGATGGGTTTTCCCACTGTTGTAACAACATAGACATGGCACCAATCTTCTTTTAGAACTGGTTAGATCATCATTATCTGGAAGATCCGAGATATTGAGCTCGACCATTCGTCTGACTTCTTGAAAATTATCTTGACTGTCTTGTCAACGGATCTCCTGAAAGTAGCCTCTTGAGATTGGATAGGTCTTTTGTAAACATGGAGTCTCTCATAGTTGGTTATCCATTCAAGGGGAATTAGCTGAGTTAATTTTTCCCTTGTGATCCTTCTCGAAATTTGAACTATATGGAGGGTATGTCTTCTCTCTGTTGGTGACAACTAATAGTGAATCAGGAGAGCATCCTGAGAAAGGAAGATCTATCGAGTGATTTTGTAAGTGGTGTATTATCTGGTGATAGAGGGTAGCTGACATGGCTTCTGACACTTGGTCAGATCTGGTGATCTGGACTTGTACTTTCAGTCTGGTGGATAAAGTATTATCATTAAGACTCACGTTATAGTTTGGGAAGATGGTGAGGACAACACTTCCTGCATGAAGTGTAGTTAGAACAGTTCCTATCACAATATTTTCATAGTGGAGGTAGCTGAAGTCCGATAGAGCTATTTTGCAAAAGACAGGTTGGTTCTTCCTTCCATGAAGAGAAAAGACGAGTCTGATAGCCCCAAAGTGTAAGGATGTATATTCTTCAGTCTTCTAGTGGTTTGTGAGATACTGGGGAATCTCCAGATCTACGTACTGCTCCTGGTTTGTAGCTCTTAGGCTGCATTGGTCTAGTCTAGATGACTTGACGTATCTTTCATATGAGAGTGGTTTGTAGAGATAAGATTTCGTATGGATCTGGTAACACTTCTTTGTCTTTTAAAGACGTTGTACGAACTTAATAGATAAGGTATTGTTTCGGCAATTTGAGCATCTTCTGAAACATGAGAGTACTCAATAAGGTTTTCTATTTTATGAAATTAGTCTTTTTACAGAGTTTATGAAACGATAAAGAAGTAGTAGTAGTAATAGGTTGAGTGTTTTGTTTAGGAGTTTTCATGTTTAAGTGATTTTCTCCCTTACTCACTCTCTTTATTATATTCATATCATATACACCCCTTTTTTCTGTACGGACTCTGATAACACACTGTCCAAGAGCTTTATATATTATAAAATTCAATTTTAACTATATCGTCATCAAATATATAAATAACTGCATGTTCAAAAAAACATTTTGAAATATATAAATAACTGATGCTTTTTTTTTTAAACTAAAAAAGTGATTCATTGAATTTCATGCAAAAAAATCAAAAGTTATCTATTGAATTTTAAAAAAATTGAATGAATCGAATCATTTATATTATTAAAGGATGAATTTGCCAATCTATTAACATTTTTAATATTTAAAAGATGAATGAATAGGAAGAAATAGATTCAATGACTGTAACCAAAAAAATAAAATAAAAGATTCAATGACCACCCCCTACCTAATATCCATACACTTAAATGAATTAAAATTTGAACTACGATAACACTATTTAATAATAGGCCTCCTATTTTTCTCATTATTTTGTCTGAATGAATGAATAATAATTGAAGGGCATGTGCAACAAGCCATATCATCTTCATCAAACAAGAATATTTTTTAAAGGACAATTAATAATTTTAGTACACTGAATAAAAAATAATTTAATATATTTTTAATTTTATATCTTAATCTGACATTTATTTTGATTCTTTAACATTAAAAATATTATTGATAACGTTCTCTATTAATTATTTTTATTTAATTAATAATTAATTTAACGATTAATTAAATTAATTTAATAATACGTTTTGATTATCTTTAATCCTTCTTCTTTTCTTCATAAAAAATTAAATCAAACATATTTATTTTAAAATATTCTTTCTTCTTCTCTCCAAAATTCACCAACCAAACGGACCCTTAGTATCCACCCATTTTATAACTGCATAATATATATTTATATATTTTTATTTAAATAAGTTAATTTATCAATTTTATTAAATACATCACTATCACTATTAAATTTGTATGCATTTTTATATAAATAATTATTTATTTTTTAACTCAACTATAATATCTTGAATTTTTTTAATATTATAAAAAATTTAAAATTACATGATAAATTATAATTGATTAATTAATTTTATTAAAAATACGGATAAAACCCCTAAAATACGAATACAAATATAAGGGTGTGTTTGATTCGGGGTAGATAGAGGGGAGAAAAAAATTTTAATTAAATATGTTTGGTTCAAATCTTAGGAGAGGAGGGGAGGGGAGCAAAATCCCTCAAAAACACACTTTTTAGTTCTCTCCGAATTGAGGAGATTTGAAGGGGAGGAGAGGGAATATGAATTTTGATATTTAAAAATTATTATATTTACTAAAATATCTTCTGTTTAATTTCAATATTTCAAAACTATTCGTTTCCTTTTGTGTTATTACTTTTTCTCGATTGTTTCCATTAATTTATTATAATTGTTCTTCACCTTCAAATTATTTTATAATTTTTATATTTAATATAATATTATAAAATTATATATGAAAATAAAAATGAGTACTATAATACTTTTTCCATATCTTATCTATTGTCTTCCATAATTTGTATTAAACCAACTAAGATAATAACATTATAAAAATATTTAATTGCAGAGTCATTTTTAAATAATAACATTTTATTTATTAAATTAATAAACAAAAAATAATAATAGTGTATTTAGGTGATTTGAAATATTTTAAATTAAATTTTGATAAGTCAAGATTTAGTTTACAAAAACAGATAAATATTTCATTTATATATACTTTTACCAAAATGTAACCCTCCATTCATTATAAAAAAAGCAAGAGATTATCAATACTTGCCATATAAAATCTTACTTTTAAACAAGAAATATATTAAATTAAAAAAAAAACTCATTTATGAAATTAAGATAATCCGGACCATAGAAACAGTACTACCTACTATAATTTTATTATTATAAAAATTAAAAAATTAAAAAGTCAAAATTAAAGAATTTAAATGTATTTTTCAAATATATTATTTTTGAAAACTGTATGAAATAATAAATGTACTTATTAATATTGCCAGTCAAATATTTTAAAAAAAAAGATAAAAAAAACTTTTAAACAAGAAATATATTTTAAAAAGTATAATTTTTTTAATAAAAAGTTTAAAAATAAATAAAAATCTTTTATATTTTATTTTATTTTTTATAGACAGTGATGCTTTTTATTCTCATCTCTCCCTCTTTACAAAATTCCTTCTCACCTCACAAGCAAAGCACCTCTCTTTCTCTCTCTACCATTTTCATTTTCTTGGTTTCTGTGCATTTTCTTGTGATTTCTCCCAAGAAACCTGCACTGCTTCAACTAACATTTCCAACACACATTAATCTTCTGTCACTACAACAAAACCTTCAAGTTTGTAACTTTTCGAAAACAATGATCTGGGAGTTCGGTTTTTCATGTCTTGGTGGTAGTCCTAGTAACCCTTCAACTTCAAGGAGGAGCTTGAGTCATGAACAAAACGACGAAAATGATCACAAAACGACAACTTTGGAGCACAACAAGGCTTGGTTGTTAGCTGAGTCTGGTGGGTGTGGACCAGAGTTGAACAATGCTGATCCTCAATCTGTTCACTCTTCTTTTAGGTTCAGTTTTTATTCTCAGGTGGAGTTGGAGTCTTTGAATTTGAGTTCTTCTACTGCTGCTACTGTTTTAATGGTGAATTTGGATAATGGGGTTACTGAATCTCGGGCTAAGGAGATGAAGTTGAGGAGAGTTGAGTCTTTGGAGAAGACTATTTCTCCTGTTGCTCACTCTTTGATTAGGTTTACCTATGCTGAAATTGTTTCTGCTACTAGGAATTTCTCCAAAGGTATCTTTTTTAAACTCTTTTTTATGCTAGAATGTTTTGTTATGTGTGATTCTGATTATGATTAAAAATGAGTTGAATGTAAAGTGATTTGTGCTTGTGTTGTATAGATTAATTTTAAAGTGCTTTCAACATAAATTTGAGGCTAAAAATCAATAGTAGATGTAAAAGCTCCTTAGCTTTTAAGTTAAAATCAATTATGGAGATAAAAGAAAACAACCAAGCATGCTTTTGAGTCAATTTTAGTTCAACAACTTATTTGTTTTTTGTGATGGTGATTGTAGGTAGGGTGTTGGGGAGAGGGGCATTGAGCTGTGTTTTTAGGGGAAGAGTTGGTCTTTTGAGAACGGCTGTAGCGATTAAGCAGTTGGACAAGGAAGATAAGGAATCTTCAAAGGCATTTTGTAGAGAATTGATGATTGCTAGTTCTCTTCATAGTCCAAATGTTGTTCCTCTTGTTGGTTTTTGTATTGACTCTGAGGAGGGTTTGTTTTTGGTTTACAAGTATGTCTCTGGCGGAAGCTTGGAGCGACACTTGCATGGTATGGTACTAGTTTCTATTAGATTTTTCTCCACGGCTCTTGTTTGGTTGAAATTGATGAGTTTTTCTGATTTGGATTCTGGTTGTGTCGATTTTACAGGGAGGAAGAAAGGTGGGAAGGGTAGTTCAACACTTCCGTGGTCGGTGAGGTACAAGGTTGCAATTGGGATTGCAGAAGCTATAGCTTATCTGCATAATGGAACTGAAAGATGTGTTGTTCATCGAGACATTAAGCCCTCTAACATTCTGCTTTCATCTAAGAAGACTCCCAAGGTGAGATGTTTTTTTCCGAATCAATTGTAGACTTGTAGCCTGTTTAGCACCGGACACTTAGATTGAAAGTGCATTACACGTCAAGCACCAACACGACATTTGTGGTTGCATTTGATTATTCCATTCTCTCAGATTAGTACCCGGTGTGGATGTGTGGGTGTCGTGTCTGATGTCTGTGTTAGTGCTTCATAGCTTGTAATTAAGTACTGTGGAAACCGTGTCATTAGAAACCTGTGCAAGTTATTCTGATTGGCTTTGTTTAACTTTGTAGTTATGTGATTTCGGATTAGCTACTTGGACTTCTGCGCCTTCAGTTCCTTTCCTTTGCAAAACCGTCAAAGGAACATTTGGGTACAAACTTTAACTCTATTTTGTTTGTACAAAATTTAGCCTATTTGCAATATTTTTGTTTGAACATTGAAATCACTGAAATTAAACTTTCTGTAACTTTGTTGTCCTCGCAGATATTTGGCTCCTGAGTATTTCCAACACGGGAAAGTATCAGATAAGACCGATGTTTATGCTTTTGGAGTGGTTTTATTGGAACTCATTACTGGACGGAAACCAATTGAAACGAAAAGATCTCCAGGAGAAGAGAATTTAGTCTTATGGGTGAGTTAACGCAACACTTCGCGGCACAGATTTAGTTCCTGGTTATACTATAATCAAATTAATTCCTGTAGAGTCTTTTGATTGATAATAACCATGTTAGGAACTGAGTTACGTAGAATCTACTCATTCTCAAAACCTAGATTAAGAGTTTAACTATATGTGCATTGAAATATCCATAATCAATGAGATCGTTCCCTTTATAGTACTTAAATTTATCAAACTTTCACCGAAGTTGGGCATTTATTTTATGACGATATTGACAGCTGTAATTTGAATATTGCATTAAGTTTAACAGCAGCATTATTGACACATTGAATCTGTCATTCATTTGCAGGCTAAACCTTATCTACAAAAGGGGAAAGGAGCAATCGAAGAGTTGCTTGATCCTCAACTCAAGTGCAATTTGAGATACTCAAATCAAATCGGAAGAATGATTGAAGCAGCAGCTGTTTGTGTCACAACTGAAGAATCTAGGAGACCTGGCATTCGTGAGGTTATCGCAATACTGAAAGGTGAAGAAGAACCTGTTTTCTCTAAAAGAAGAAAGTCAAGTTTTCTTGGAAACGGATGCGTGATTGATTGTTATTCTCAGTTAGAACAATCGAACAGCGAGATGAAAAGCCACTTGGCTTTGGCAATGCTAGGAGTTTCGGAGTTTGAGGATGATGATTATCTCTATGTATGTTAAAATATTGATTACAAAACTCAAAACTACTTTAGTTTCTGACATGATTTTTGCTAGAATGCTAATTGGTAGATGTGAGGGAGTTGAAATTGCAAATAGGAATAGGATTAGGAGCTGAGATGAAGATTGTTTGTGTGTAGATATCTTCCCTTTACCTTTCTTTTTTCTCAAAAGTTATAGTTATAGATTTTCATTCATTGTTTGAGATATGTTCGATTCGGGTTTGAATTTGGTGCAGGAATACCGATCTCAGCCATCTGTTCTCAAAAGAACAACCGTGATTGTCTAATGCTAGTTTTGATTTTGTGTAATATGAGACCTGTGATCTCATATCAACCCTCAAAACCCTTCGATTCATGTTGGAATATTCATGCACTAATGGTGTATAATTGTTTTACACATGCATCATATCTACGGATGGTAAACAGACATTTCTATCGTGAAAAAAAATTTTAGATATGGTAAACGAACATGGTCCACCCAAAAAAAAAAGGGACCGGATGAGTACAGTTAAAGATGCAGGCTTAAAGCTTTGGTCCACCTTAAAAAAAGAGGACAGAGCAAAAAAAAAAAAGAATAGGTCGGATATATTAGAGAGTGTGAACGTAAAACTATAACTTTTCCTAAAAAAAATATGGACAAAGGTTGATTATATCTATTTTGTCATCCCTAATCTTATCAAACCATGTCTAATAGATATTTATTGAGGTATTTAATTAAAAAATATTACAAAATAATTTGATTTGATGAAAATGTAACACAGTTTTGCATTGGTGCGGAGTGCATGTTTTAGGTGGAATGGGGGTCATAGTTTTCATCTCTACATTAAGAGGTGAAATATTCTGTCAAAAAAAATAAAAATAAAAGTACTCTTTCAATTAATGAATATGTTTTTCACCATGTGGTTTATTCTCATTTATTATTCTCTTAATTCTCACATAGTTTAAACAGTAGGTATGTATGTACATTCAATTTCTCTTCTTTTACGTAACATTATTAAAATATTTGTCGTTACAATGTTACCTAGGCATTTTGTTTTAAAGGAGGTCCCATTTGAGATCAGATCATTTCAACTACTACTACCTTCAAATCAAGGTCAAGGCTTTGTGACATTATTATAAATGACTAGCGATTCAGACAGATACTCTTGTGCGTCTAGACAGGTACTATTGTGTCCGTCTATCTATATTTTTAATGGTCAGACATTTAAAAATATAAACGCATTTTTTTTGTGTATTTATTTTTTTTAATTTAAATTTTATATAAAAAAATTAAATGAAATAGTTGTGCAAACTATCCTATAACCGTTAATAAAAAAAAGTTAAATAAAAACGAAGTTAAATTTTAAAATAAAAAACTAAAAGTATAATTGAAATAAAAATAGATTACACCAAATTTAAGTTTTTCTTTAAATATATTATAGATAAAAAATTAAAGAGTATAATTAAAATAGTAATAGGCTACCTCAAATCTAAATTTTTATTTTATATATGTTATAGATTATAGAAGATTATAAATTATAAGATAATAATGCACATGTATTAAAACAATCACATTTAAATTAGTTGCAAGTATGTAACTAAATGCGGGCTAGATGCACTATTTACTTAAAGACTAACTTCTTTTATAGTACATTTTAATTTTTTTTCTTTCAAAAAGAGGTAATTTATTTTAAAGAGTAAGATCAATGTGGCCTCTAAAAAAATAAACGCAGCCTATTTTGTAAAGTCGATTTATTTTTAAACATAAATCAAGTTTCATAGCCTGCAACCAATTTGGTTTGAGAAATAGCCTGTTTTACTGAGGATTGTTCAATATGAGCGACAAGTGCTTACGCTGATAAATATTTAGATGTGTCATACTTTAAATTTTTCTTTGAGTTTTTTCATCTATAGTAACATGACATGATCATTTTATTTAATCATACATTCTATCATTTATTAACACATTTTGAAATAAAAGTCAAAAAGTAAAAATTTGACTCAGTTGACTTTTACTAGTTCATTTGTATTATTTATATTTTTGCATTTTTTATTTATTTTTCATATTAAGTTTGTATGATTTTAATTAACTTTTAATAAAATAAAATAAAGAAACAAATTGCATTTTAATTATTTTTATATATACATACTTGTCATTACAAGGGTCAATCTTTACAAGCACCACAAGGTGACCAAACTATTATAGCTCTACCACAAAACAATCATATTAATAAATTATTACCACAACCTCTCTTTCTCTCTCAATTTCATTTTTGTAGTTGGACTCGACTCAAAGCAAGAAAATGGATGCTGTCAATCAGTTGCAGACATTCATCATCCAAAAAGTTGACGATCCATTGTTGCAAACAAAGTAAAGATCTCCATCAAAACAAGGAAGGGCATAATCTGAGCACAAACCAAATAGATGATTCAATAGGAATCCTTATACACATCACTCACTCAATAAATAGATGGAGACTCTTCAAGCAGCATCTCAATTCAACCACCATTGAAAGAATAAAGATCATTACAAATCTCCTTCTGCAAATCATTGTCAATCAGTTCACTCACTATGCCAAAAAAGACTTTTAGCAGCGCTTAAAAGCGCTGTCAAACGTGGCGCTGTTAAAGGTAAAGGCAACAGTTTTTTTATGGAAAAAGCGCTACTAAAGGCTCCCTTTAGCAGCACATTTAGCAGCGCTTTTTTACCCCTTTAGCAGCGCTTATAAAAGCGCGGCCTATACCCCCTCCCCTCCCCCCCTTTAGCAGCGCTTTTAGAAAGCACTTTCTTAGACCCCCTTTAGCAGCGCTTTTTTTAAAGCGCTTTCTTAGACCCCCCCTTTTAGCAGCGCTTTAATAAAGCGCTATCTTAGACCCCCCATTTCCCCACCTATAACAGCGTTTTTGTAGCGCTCTCTTTATCCCCTTTAGCAGCGCTTTTTTGTAAGAGCGCTGTCTAATCTTCACGATTTTAAATTTTTTTTTTAAATAATCACACTTTTTATATATTTTTCGATAAACCTGCTTATATTACATTCCCAGCTTATAATTCAGGCATTTATTTCAACACTTTGGCCTTATATATACAATTCAACACTTTGACCTTTAAGTATACATTGTAATTCATCACTTTGCCCATAATCATTTTAATACACATAAACCTGCTTAAATATATTACAACACAATCCGATCCTCAGAATTACAACATCACAAATACAGTCAATTTACATATAATTACAAACCCGTTAACTTTACAAATAGATACGACTTCCAGAAATATTATTATCCCGCATCAATATTGGATGATACATATACCTTATACAATTCTCAACTCAAGAATAAATTGACACCATTCCTCCTTTATTTCTTCCAATCCTGCTTTCGAGTAAGTACCGCACTTAAATTCATCAAAGTACTACATAATATAACAGAACATGCACGATTTAGTTTTAAAACTAATTACTCAGATGAAACATCGGTTAATTATCAAAATGAATCATATAATTTATGAATTGATCCATACCATGATTGAAATCTCTATTTGACCAGAATAACTAATTTCCTTCCTAAAGCGCAATACAAAATATCCGCAATCAATCCCATTGCGCTGACGAGGACACTGTAAATAGAAAAAACAAACGAACATTTATCAGGATATATAGTTTACATAATTTTATCAAGTAGGACCACTATAACAGTAAAAAAATGGGAAAATATACCTGCACTATGATCTAGCTAATGTTGTTAGCCTTGCTTTTTGGCACTGTTGCTTGTCTTTGTGCTCTGAATATTTGTATAGCTCTAACATAATATAAACACGTAAATCAAATGCTTAACATCAAATGCAAACTATAATAAATAATACTTTTATAATGAAACTTTCACATTGAACATGCCAAAGTTGAACGCATAAATCTTGGGAGCGACATGTTTTATTATTTAAAAAAAAAAACAACTCTTCTCATAATTGAGCGTCAGATTTTCTCCATAAAAAAAATAGTAAACCTATTACTTTGGTGTTTTTGAAAACCAAAGAAATATAGCTATAAAGGAACGCGCTTCGCTTCGAATTCCTGTAACTATATTTAAAATTTTTTCAATGATTTCTCACTCGACGCCTTTCAATCTTTCTTTTTTTTTTAATTAATTTTTTTCTTGTTAATTAGTGATTTTAAATAATTTTGTTATCAATAAAAACGAATAGGAAATTATATGAAATAAAAGGTTTCATTAATTGAAAATAAGACAACAAATAACTATTCTACATATTAATTTTTTTGACTCCACTCAACTTCAATAGTATCACTATTAACTATCTCTAATTGAGAGAAAAGTTCAAAAGAAACTTTTCTATATGGTATGAGGAAAGTCATTTCCTCCGTAGAAATTATTATCATTTCATTTAAGAAGTTAAAAATGATAAGAAAAATATTAACTTTGATGTTTTTAGTAAGGAATAACAAGAGATACTTGTCATCCCAAGTAAGCGTTTCCAGTTGTTTCTCTCTTTGATAGAGATTGAACACTAGAAGTTGATACAAAATTTTTCTAATTAATAGTAGAGTAGAAGGACTGCTAAGATTATTGTTGTTGGCATAAATTAGGCGAAGGTGATCTGAGTAGACATTGTAGAATCTATAATGTTCAACACAACAACCTTCCTCTTCACAATTAATTGTCTGAGTAGTAAGTGATTAAGTAATTGTGATAGGATAACAATTGACATAGAGCTGGATTGGTAGCATCATGACCAGATGGCCCAACGAAGACATTTAACCAGAATTCTTTAACGAGATTAATGTAGATGAGGTCATGAAAAACGTCAAAGTAACCATTCAACTTTTGTTTGCGAATAATTTTCCTTAGATCAAAATTTTTGTCTTTCAAATCATTGAAATCAACAAACTTTTCATTGATAACGAACAAAAGATTTTCATCTAAGGTTGTTGAAGACATTTTTGAAGAAAGTAAAAGAATTTGACGACATAAAGAGTTGGAAATGAGACGTTGAAATTAGGAATA